GTGAGTCTGGGGTGAGTCTGGAGTGTGGGTCTGGGGTGAGTCTGGAGTGTGGGTCAGGGGTGAGTCTGGAGTGTGGGTCCGCAGTGAGTCTGGAGTATGGGTCTGGGGTGAGTCTGGGGTGTGGGACTCGGGTGAGTCTGCTGTGAGTCTGGGTTGAGTGTGGAGTGTGGGTCAGGGGTGAGTCGGGTGGGTCTGGGGTGAGTCTGGGGTGGGTCTGGGGTAAGTCTGGGGTGAGTCTGAAGTGTGGGTCAGGGGGTGAGTCTGGGGTGTGGGTCTGATGTGGGTCTGGGGTGTGGGTCCAGGGTGAGTCTGGAGTGTGGGTGTGGGGTGAGTCTGGAGTGCCACAGTTCAGGGGAGCCAGGTGGCAGCGGGAAGGATCGTGAGTGTAGCCCCACAGGCACACGAGGCCTGGGACTGCACAATGTGAGGCGGCCTCCTGGCCTGAGAAGGAAGCCTTGTGCTGGGTTTAACGTGGCCAGGGCTGAGGCCTGTCTTGCCCCAAGTAGGAGCCATGCTCCTGTGGGTGGGATTTAAGCCGTGGAAAGCGAGAAGACCCCTGGTTAGAAAAAAGCAGCAAGGAGGCTGGCTGAGGAGCCATTTCAGGGAGCACCGTGGGAAGGAGGCCTGTAAGGCTGGGCACACAGCGAGGTGTGGGGAGGCTGGGCCCGGGGCAGGGCCATGGGGCTCGGGCTTCTCACACAAGTTCTGCCCGATTCTCAAGTGCTGTCGTCTTAATCAACAGAGAACATGGATGCCACCCCAACTCAAGTCAGGTGAGGCTGTGCTCTCACAGTGGGATCTGGACGGGGCAAAGGGTGACCAGCTCGAGTGTTGGTCGGGGAGGGACCCCACAGCGGTGGATGACTGCCCAGTGGTGGAGGGGCGCCCCAGCTAACCCTGCCAAAAGGTGCAGATGAGCCTGTGAAGGCAGCTAAGGGCGGGGGCAGCACCTCCTGGTGTCTGCTCAGCTGTACCAGTGGAGGGCAAGGGTGCCACGCGTTTCTATGGCTGAACAAGGTGCCACAGAAAACACAGAAAATGCACCCCGCCTGAGATAAAGGCAAAGCTCTCACAAGGCAGCGATGGGGACCCACCAGCATGAAAGCAGGGGTGCAGGTATCAAGCGGGAATATCCTCTGCACACTTTCCTAAGCAGGATGTGTGGAAACGGCCACAGGGAAATGAGAAGAACCTGGAGAGCCACTGAGACAGACTTACTTCCTTCGGAAGGTGAAGTCTGAGGCGTATTCCCCAAAGGGTCAGGCCTCTCTCAGCTGGGGCGGAGGCGTTCACCACCGTGCAGACACAAACGCTGGGGGATGTGCGCACGCACGCACGCACACACACACACACACACACGTGGTGGCAGGAGGGGCACACACAGGCATGCCGGGGACATGCTGCAGGGCGGTAGGCCGTTGGCCCAGGCCTGCTGGGGCACTGTGCCCATACCCAGCAGGCGCCCACCTCAATGCCGCTCTGGCGCGCCAGCTTGACAGCCGTGTTGTAGTAGCCGCAGCGCAGCAGGTGCTCCACCATCATGCGGTCCATGCGCTTCCTCTTCCACACGCTGGCCGCCGCGGGCTGGTCGCTGCTGTGCTCTTTGAGGTGCTCGATCCGGCGCTTGCACAGCTTGGCACTCTCATCTTCGGCCTGGATGGACTCCACCGCCTGAGCCACACACAACAGAGACCCATTCAGGACAGGGACGCCCCACAGCCCTGCGCCAAGGGAGGCCAGGCTGCCCCAGTCTATGACACTCACGAGGAGAAAAGTGGAGATGGCGGGACAGAAATACAAGGACCATGCTCTACTGAGGTCCGCTAGGTAGGTGTGCTGGCCCAGGAGAGGACAGAGGCCCATGAAAATCCGCCACCCTGGACCTGCAGTTTCTCTGTTATTTCTGGCTTTATGTTAACATATCCTGAAGCCATGTTGCCACTTACTCTGTGTGGGATTCTGACCTGGTAGCACTCATCAGTTCTGAAACCTTGGTCGCTCTCCCTGCGCCATCTCTGGCCCCACCCACTGGTGGGCTCTGGTCAAACCTACCACAGCTTTCTGCTCTATTCTGTGCTTTATTCTCACGGGCACTTTCATTTTTCCATCTCTGTGCTCCGTTCTAGGTCATTACTTCAGTTCACTGATTCTCTCTTTAGCTTTGTCTAACTGTTAACTGTTAAACTATTACAGGCAAATGTTGAGTTTTTCATTTTGGTTACATTTCCCATTTCTTGAAGTTTTAATTCCTTTTAAACTCTAAATCACTTTTTATTTTGGAGATAGTCTCCGTGCAGGCTGGACTGCAGTGGTGAGATCTCAGGTCACTGAAAACTCTCACTCCCAGGTTCAAGCAATTCTCCCACCTCAGCCTCTCAAGTGCCTGGGACCACAGGTACATACCACGCCTAGCTAATATTTTTGTAATTTTACTAGAGACAGGGTTTCGCCATGTTGGCCAGGCTGGTCTGGAGCTCCTAATCTCAGGTGACCCGTCTGCTTTGGTCTCCAAAAGTGCTGGGATTACAGGTCGAAGCCACTGTGCCAGGCCAATCACATTTTTTTTTTTTTTTAAAGACAGCGTCTCATTCCACTGCCCAGGATGGAATGTAGTGACACAATCCCCACTCACTACAGACTTAAACTCCTGGGCTCATGCGATTCTCCTGTCTGAGCCTCCCAAGTAGCTGAGACTACAGGTGTGCACCACCACACCTGGCTAATATTTTTTGTAGAGATAAGGTTTCGCCATGTTGCCCAGGCTGGTCTCAAACTCCTGGGCTCAAGTAATTCTGCTGCCTCAGCTTTCCACAGTACTTCACAGGCGTGACCCACCAGCCTGTTTGTATTCTTTAAGCACAGTAAAGTGTGGCACCTGGCAGTCGCCACACCTGCAGTCTGTGCAGCTCTGAGTAAAGTGTGGCACCTGGCAGCTCCCACACCTGCAGTCTGTGCAGCTCTTAGTAAAGTGTGGCACCTGGCAGCTCACACACCTGCAGTCTGTGCAGCTCTGAGTAAAGTGTGGCACCTGGCAGTCTCCACACCTTCAGTCTGTGCAGTTCTCTGAGTAAAGTGTGGCACGTGGCAGCTCCCACACCTGCAGTCTGTGCAGCTCTGAGTAAAGTGTGGCACCTGGCAGCTCACACACCTGCAGTCTGTGCAGCTCTGAGTAAAGTGTGGCACCTGGCAGTCCCCACACCTGCAGTCTGTGCAGTTCTGAGTAAAGCGTGGCACTTGGCAGCTCCCACACCTGCAGTCTGTGCAGCTCTGAGTAAAGTGTGGCACGTGGCAGTCTCCACACCTTCAGTCTGTGCAGTTCTCTGAGTAAAGTGTGGCACCTGGCAGCTCCCACACCTGCAGTCTGTGCAGCTCTGAGTAAAGTGTGGCACCTGGCAGTCCCCACACCTGCAGTCTGTGCAGCTCTGAATAAAATGTGGCATGTGGCAGCTCCCACACCTGCAGTCTGTGCAGCTCTGAGTAAAGTATGGCACCTGGCAGTCCCCACACCTGCAGTCGGTGCAGCTCTCTGAATAAAGTGTGGCACCTGGCAGCTCCCACACCTGCAGTCTGTGCAGTTCTGAGTAAAGTGTGGCACCTAGCAGAAGTGGACTGGCATTGACAGAGTGTTGCAGCCCAGGTTCACAGTACTGCAGCCCCACACCTGCAGTCTGTGCAGCTCTCTGAGTAAAGTGTGGCACCTGGCAGCACCCACGCCCGCAGTCTGTGCTGCAGTCTGTCGTCTGCTGGGTCTCTAATCCATCACGGTGTCTTCAGATAGGGTCTCAATGTCACCCAGGCTGTCTCTGTGCTGGATGTTGTACTTGAAAACTTACTTTTAAGAATCATCTTATGCCCATATTGAGGGTGTCCTCCCCATAAAATAATCTGAATTTACTCTGCCCAGAGCTGGAAGGCACCACCAGTCGGCACCACCTCACTGGAGGGAAGGCTAAGGGTCTCCCATCACCCAGGTACTGTGAACCTGGGCTGCAACACTCTGTCAATGCCAGTCCACTTCTGGCACAACCCACCCTGAGCTGTAGCACCATGGGGTCCCAGCTTCTCTCCACTGGGCCCCACTTTCCATGGCCTGGGTCATTAGTCCTCACCTCCATGTGACCTTGCCGACACTCTGAGGGCAACAGCCGTCTCTTGCTGTTTTCATCTCTGACTCCCTGCCCTCCAGTTCTGGCCTAGTGATTTCTTTCTGTTTCACAATATATTGGATATTTTCACTGCAATGTGTTAAGATATCTTATCCCACTTTCTGGGTGTCTTCAGTGCGCCAGATTTGTCCCAATGCCCTTGTCCATTCATCCTAGTGACAAGGAACTCCACATGCTCCTTTGAGGTGAATTTCTATCTAAAAGTAATCAATCGGGCTGGGTGCAGTGGCTCACACCTATAATCTCAGCACTTTGGGAGGCCCAGGAGGGCAGATCACTTGAGATCAGGAGTTTGAGACCCCTATGGCCAACATGATGAAACCCCGTCTCTACTAAAAATACAAAAATTAGCTGGGCATGGTGATGTGCACCTGTAATCCCAGCTACTCATGAGGCTGAGGCAGGAGAACTGCTTGAATCCAGAGGGCGGAGGCTGCAGAGAGTCGAGATCGTGCCACTGAACTCCAGCCTAGGTGACAGAGTGATATGTCTCCAAAAAAAGAGAAAAAAAATCAACTTTCTATACATCTTGGCCTCTCTTCTGCCTGGGCTCTGGACACTCCTGGAGCAGGACAACATGGTCCTACAGGAACAGGAAGCTGGCCTGCTCAGCCGACAGTGGTCCCAGAAGGCAGGGCACAGGGAAGGGGGCCCCCAGCTGTACCTCCCACGTTCCCACCATGGCAGCTTGCCAGTCTTAGGACTCATTTTCAAGACAAATGGAGTGTCTGTGCCCCCAGCTGAAGAGGGACCACTGGGAGGGACCAACCTTCCTCTTAAGGACGCTGAGCTTCTCTACCACACCATCCAGCAAGCTGACCACAGAGTCCACGGCAGGGCAGCCACTGAGCGTCTTCTCCAGCTCGGCCACCACCATAGTGACGTGGCTGGTCTCCCGGTCAATGTTCTTCTGAGCGGCGCGAAAGCGTTTGTTCAGTGTCTCGTAGGGCACCTGGAGAGGAAGGAGGATGGTGAGGGGTCCGCTCCCCTGGTGTGAGCCCCGCCAGCCCCACACCCAGGACACACCATGGTACTTTCAGAGACAGAAGTCTTAGAAGCCTCTGGTCTCCAAGTATCTACTCTAAACCTCGACCAAGACCCAAGAAAGCCCTGGTGAATGGAGAGCCACTCCACGTCCCTGGATGATAAGCAACCCAATTTTTGACCAAAAAAAAAAAAAAAAAATGCTAAGTGTATGTTGACAAAATAATCCCAAAGTTCATCTAGAATAATGAACAGTTAAAGACATTTCTGAATAGGAGAGGAGTGGATGGGCATGGCGCTATCAGACAGTGAAACACAGGACTGGCCAGTGATCCACCAGGCTGCTGCAGCTGCAGGTGCCACCACAGAGATCAGTCCAGGAAGGGTCAAAGGTGCATGGGGCATGGGTTCCACACCGGGCAAGGTTGGGCACAGCAAGCCAAAAACACGCACGTGAAGCTAGGTGCACAACACACACCTCTCCTGCATGAGTGCTCACCTCACCCCAATCATAAAAATAATCTATTCCCCGTGGACACGCACAACCCACACCTCTCCTGCATGAGCGTGTTCGCCTCACCCCAATCATAAAAATAATCTATTCCCCGTGGACACGGACAACCCACACCTCTCCTG